TCTCTCTCTGTCTCTCTCTCTCTCTCTCTGTGTGTGTGTCTCTCTCTCTCTCTCTCTCTCTCTCTCTATGTCTCTCTCTCTCTCTCCGTGTTTTTTTTTTCTCTTTGTTGCCGTACCACTCACGCCACGTCGCCCGACGGCGAGAGCAGCGTACAACAAGTACAAGAGCTCGAAGAAGCCCGACGGCTCGCCGGGTCGTGTGCGGGTCGCAAGCTTCAAGGTGCGTTGGTCCCTCTTATGTTTCATCGTAAAACCTATCCTTGATACAGCTTCACCTCTACACCTCAATATCTCTACACCTCAACATCTCGACATCTCAACACCTCATCATCTCATCATCTCAACACGTCAACATCTCAACATCGCAACATCTCAACATCTCAACATCTCAACGTCTCAACATCTCAACAGCGCTCCCGTGTGTATCATCCTCCCGCACGGCCTGTAAATGCAGCAGTAGCGCGCGCGCCTCTGGTTTCTTCGGTCGGCCTAGCGTGTTTACGCCGCCATGCTTCGTTGAACTGGACTGTCTCTTTCATCCTTTGCGACGAGAAAACTTCCCGCCTGTACTTGTACATCAATTTAGTCAGTCGATCTGGTATCTACTTCTTTAGGACCACAGGTTATTACCTACACCACCATGATGGACTTTTGCGCTGAATCATGATCGTTTCTTGTCCGTGTCCCTTGTTGTGGCGCGCTCGCCCGATCGATGCCCAGGCCGAAACCGTGGAGCAATGGAGACAGGCAGTGCTGGACCAGCTCGAGAACCTCCGAGCGCAGCCGCGACAAGACGCGGAGAGATCGATGTGGGCCAAGTCGGGCCTGGGGCTGGGGCTACCCGGGTGGTTCGTTAGACCAGAGGGCCCCCCGCCCGCCCTGAAGGCGATAGACCTGAGAGTAGTGGATAGCTTGCTCAGCAACTCGGTGTGGGTGAGATACTGCTGCGGTGCTGCTTGCTGTTTGCTATTCGGGGGTGCTTGTATGCCGTCGTTGGTGGTTTTGATGCTGCTCCCGTGCTCTTTTTCGTGGTGGCTTAACGGCGGCCGGCTACCTGTGGCCTGTGCACTGGCCGTTCGCAGTACAACGCCGCGTGGACGCGTCGGCACGTGTTTTTTTGAAGGGCTCAATTGTTTTCGGAGATGATGGCCGTGCCTGCCGTGCCTGTTGACATTCGGGCGCGTGAACTGCCTATCCGGTTTGTATTTGTTGTTGGCGGAGGCGTGTTGCTCCATCCCTCCCCCCCCCCCACCCCCGTCTTCTATGCGTCCGGTGTTTGCCCTGCCCCCCACTCACCGCGTTGCGTAGGTATCACGAGGCGTCACGCACGGGTTGCCAGTGTTGCAGCAGCATGTGGGTGCCGTCGCTGGCTTGGAAAGCGGGTCGGACAACGAGGAATGCGCCCAAGCCGTGGCGCAGCCGAGCTGGGGTCTTGGTGGCTCGGGACCCGTTCTCAAGACGCAGACCATCGTAAGTGCTGTTCAGAGAGGGGCAGCGTGCTCTGCCTTGGTGATGCGTATGATTCTCCAGTTGGAATAAGCGGGAGATGCATGTCAAGGCGGCGAAGTCCCGCCGCGTAGAAACCGTGGAGCGGTTCCTTCCAGGGCCGGCAGGATGTCCGCCTGGCGTATAAGCTTTGGGAATCGCGCCGCGCCGGGGTAGCTTTTCGGGGGCGCGGGAATATTCTTTTGCGCTGGATGCGGGCTTGATGGTGGGCTTGATGGCGAGGCTGGTGTAGTGCAAAGGCAACAGCACCAACCAATCTTGACGCTGATGACTCTGTCCACCTAGCCTGTCCCGCTTTGCGCTTGGAGGTGTGTTGGTTTTGCGGAAACCCGGAACCAGATTCGAAGCGTCCTTAAGTTGGCGGGGATACGTAGTCATGATCCCCGGAGTTGACCAGGTTTTGGGGAAACCCGGCAAGCGGCCTTACCGATCCCACCGGGGACGTAAAAGTTGACATCCAAGGGCAGCGCCCTCGTCATCCACCCTGACTCGTTATACATGTGCGCGGGTTGTCCACGGGTTCAAAGGGGCAGTTATGAGAGAGAGAGCGATCTACAAATAGTCGCAGAGACTTTCTCTCTTCCCAGGAGACCATGCCGCCTCGACGCTCCAACACCACGGGTGGCCGTGCGAGCTCCGTGTGTATTCCGTCCCGCCATGGAGCAGAGAAGGTTACAACTGCCCCCAGAGAGAGCATTCCTTGTCGAGCATCTTATCACGGAGCCCCCCCCCCCCCCCCCCCCCCCCCCCCCCCCCCCCCCCCCCCCCCCCAC